AACAGAGTGAATTATAATGATTATCTATAAGTGGCTTGTTTGTTTAAATGGTCGGATTTCGATTGGGAAAAGTAGTAGGCAGTAGTAAGAAGAGAGAAAGGTTAGGGGAAATGAGGCGACACCAACAAACTCGCCATGTTGAAATTTTACGTAGGGAAAAATTAGCTCGCAAACCATCTCTCTAATATCAGTGAAAAAGGAAATCTGAAAATAATTCCCCAAACTTGAGAATTTATTGATTTATTTCGATTTTCCGAAGTCAAGTTATATTTTCCCGCGAAAATGTCTAAACCCGGATGTGTGACGTCAATGCTAGAACACGATCACAGCATTCTCTGCATTCAATACATGGTGCAGTCTGGGACTACAGATCATCGGAAAGATTTTGCGTGTTTTGTTGATGTCCCAGAGATGGCGCTGCAATCACAGTGTATTGAAGTGGCAGATTTCTGAATGGAGGAAGGATGGAGGCCAGAGTTGGGTTGTAGGGATTCACTACTTTGCTTCACGCAACCGAGGATTTTAGTCCCAGACTGTACATGAGGACTCACTACAAGACTACAGCGGCAATGAAGTTTCATCAGATTATTCGACGAGGACATTGGTATAAGTTCTTCAGAGGGTGCCTACGTCTTCGAAGAGTTGGAAGAAGAGGAATATCAAGGGTTGATGGTTGTTGGACCGTACATGCACGAGCCTGACGCTGTGGATGTCGTGGAAGTTGTGCCAAACCAGCCAGTCATGGAGTGGCGTCGAGACCCGAAGAGGCTGAATAAATGGTGATTTTCTAAATATTTCTTTATGGTCGAACGTTTGATCCTGCTTCTATAGTGTACAAAATTTCCGTAGGCTGAGCAGTCTCTCGTCTGCACCCGTGGCGCAGGCCTACATCCATTCGCGAGTGAGGGGCATCGTATTTTTGTGTTGTGCTTTTTGGGTGTACCTACCCTACCTCTGTGTAGTAATACAACTGTACATCGCCACGTACATCAATCATATTGGATCAGACATCAGCTGATGATAGCGTTCTCGAGAAAGTAAAAGAGCATGTTCTAATCATGTTTTGTTATGTGCTGATGATAGGCCTGTCTGTCAGGCCTACCAGCGCGTTATTTTATTAACTGTTCATAAAGATTTGCTGTCTGTATTCATGTGCTGATGATATCATGATACACCTCTCATCATTTTGTTTATTATGTACTTTATCTTCTCTGGGCAATTTATGATAACCATTGATGATAAAAACAGTTGAAGTTGTAGTAGTAATTATAATGATAAAAGGAAAGGATGAATATGAAAATGAATACGATAAAGAGAAAGGGAGATAGAGATAGCATGCGAAAAAGAGAGAGGAGAGAGAGAGAGAGAGAGAAGGAGAGAAGAGAGAGAGAGAGAGAGAGAGAGGGAGAGGGAGAGAGAGAGAGGGAGAGAGAGAGAGAGAGAGAGAGAGAGAGAGAGAGAGGGAGAGAGAGAGAGAGAGAGAGAGAGAGAGAGAGAGAGAGAGAGAGAGAGAGAGAGAGAGGAGAGAGAGAAGGAGAGAGAGAGAGAGAGAGGAGAGAGAGAGAGAAATGCCAGGGATGGAAAAGAAAGAAAAACAAAATGAACCAGGAAGAGTGAATGGAAAGGTAAAGAAAAAGAGAGGGACACACACACATCTCTCTATCCACACACACACACACACAATGAGAGATACACAGATAGACAGACATAGACAAAGAACGAAATAAACTGACAGATTAAAATTTCTATGATATACTTTTCTGATACTGCTTATTTTGCATAAATGAGAAAATGTATTTTTTAAAAAGATTATTTATAGCTTGAACTGGGATAATTCCGCGATATCATGAGGCAGAGATAAGGGGCCGAAAAACAAGAAAAAAAACAAGAAAAAAACAAGAAAAATAGATATGTATACGAAGCTAAGTCCGAGAGAGGGCGCCTTAGACGCGAGGTCTATATACATATATAGACCTTGCCTTAGACAGGACCTTTTTGGCTGTTTTGAGAATCCGGCCCAGGTCATTATTATCATTTTTGGATTTATGATTACGCTAATGATTATCATTACTAATATTATCATCATCACCGTTGGTATCATTAGCATGATTATTAGCATTATATTATTAGTACCATTATTATCATTAATAATTAATTAATTAATTAATAATAATTGATATCGTCATTGGTATCATTATTATTAGGATGATGAGGATTATTATTACTATTACTGTTATTACTATCATCATTACTGTTACTATTATTATCATTATCATTATTATTATTGTTCTCATTATTATTGTTATCATTATTATCATCGTCATTGTCATTTCCATTATCATTATCATTGTTAATATTATCATCATTATCAATAATATCAATACTCTAATTGTGTTAAATGATCATAATGCTGGGTATTTATTATTATTATTATTATTATTATTATTATTATTATTATTATTTTCATCATCATCATCACTATTCTTAGTATTATTATTATTATCATTATCTTTATTATTATTATCATCATTGTTGTTGTAGTTATGATTAGTATTGACATTTTTATCATTATTGTTGTTATTATAGTTATTACAGCTATCATTCCTCTTATTATTATCATTGATATAATTATTATTGTTATGGCTTTTATTATCGTTATTATAATTGTTTTCATTATTGCCATTATTGCTATAATTGTCATTATTGCAATTATTATTTTCATCATTGTTATCATTTCCATTATCACTATCATATTTTCACTGTCGTAATGGTGGTAACAGTAATAGTAATAATAAGGATAATAAGGATAGTAATAATAATCATTATTGTTATTCTTACTGTTATCATCATCAATATTGTTGTTATTATCATTGTTATCATTGATATTTCATCACCATTGATATTGTTTTGTTGTTGTTATTATCATTATTATCCCTATAATTATTATTACTATTATTGTCATCATTGTTATTAATATTATCATTATCATTATCATAGTTATTACCATTATTGCCGATATTATCATTTTTACTACCATCATTATTGTCATCATTATTATCATCATTATCATTATTGTTTTTAATACTTTGTTGATGATGATAGTAATAGCAATAATGGTGATGATGATGGTAATAGTAATAATATCAATAATGATTATTATTATTATTGTTACTATTATTATTATTATTATCACTATTATTATTGTCACCATTACGACAATGAAAAGATGATAATTGATAATAATAATGATATGCATAATGATAATGACAATAGTAATGAACGTAGTATCAATAATGGCAATAATAATCATCATGAAATAGCGATAATATCAGTGATGATAATAATGATATTAATAATGATAATAATAAAGATAATAATGGTAATAACAGATGATAATGATAATCATTATTACTATAGTTATTATCATCATGATTACCATTATCAACATCCTTTTATTATCGTAATCACTATCATTATCCTTATCATTATCACTATCATCATCATTGGTATCATTATCATTATTGTTAGGATCATTATTGTTATCATTATTCTCCTTAGTAGGATGATTATTAATTTTCTGAATACTGTCATCATCAATAGTGGTATTAGTACTATTATTGATATTACTATATGTCACTGTTATTGTTATTAGGATAATATTTATCAATATTATTATTATTGTTATATCTATTATCGCCATAATTATTATGATTCTTATTATTATCAATATTATAACTGTTATGGTTATGATGATTCTTATTGTTATATATATGTATATATATTTGATTATCATTATTATTTTCTATATTTTTAAAATCTTTAATATTGTTTTATATATAATTTTTAATTATCATTATTGTTTTATATATCTTTTAAACTATCATGATTTTTATAGATATTTTTAAATTATCATCATTGTTATTATTATCATTCCTACTTTCATCATTATCATTGTTGTCACTGTTATTTTGATTATTATCATTATCAACACTATATCATCATCATATCATTATCATATTTTATTTATTTTTATCATAGTGATTATGATAATGGTAAAATGATAATGATAGCCAGGAAAAGGAGTATTATTATGACTGTTTTTATAATCATCTTTATCATCAAAATTATTATCATTACCTTGACATACTTATCATTATGATTGTGATCATTATCAATATATTCATCATTATCCTTATCATCGGATTAACATTACAACTTTACTTATTTGTTGATTATCAAGAGTACCTGAATTTTTATTACAATTATTTTTATTATCATTAGGTCACCATTTTCATCTTTATTTTGTTTTATTTTTGAATGATTGGGTGCTTGGTTTTGCTATCATATTTCTGTATTTATGTATATTTTTCTTCTTAGGAATCGAGTTGGAAAAAAAAATCTTAAAGTAAGAATCAGGCATAATGATTTGTAAAAATCTGCTCCATATTATTTCCCCAGATGCAAAAGGAGACACGAAATCGCGGGGAGTTTCCTTGATATTCCAGTAACGTCGCTTAAGTTGCGGATTCTACTTTTGTCCTGGGCATCCAGGAGCCCTCGAGGAGCACCTCCAAGGCAGAAGTCGCCGCAGCCACGGTCTCCCCTACGGGCGTCACCGTGTAGCTTCCGAAGGGCGTGGCCCTGCTGTAGAAGCGGTCGTAGTTGGCGTGCGTGGAGCAGTCGGTGACGTAGGAGGCCTCGCCCATGCTCGCGTGGGCCGAGTCCTCGTACATGACGAAGCACTGGGAGGCCGGCCCGAGGAAGGTGTACACTTGGCCAGGTACGTGTCGTTGAAGACGGCGGGCTGCGTCACCTGCAGCACCACGAAGTCCTCGCCTGTCCCCGGAGGTACAGCCGCACCCTGTCCACCCGCACGCGGTCCTTGTGCAGCAGCTCGCTCCCCCACCAGTCGCTGAAGTCCACGTCGAGCGTGCCCTGCTGGCGCAAGGTGGTGACGGGGCAGAGGGGGTCCCGCGCCGTGCAGTTCTCCTTCTGGTCCGTCAGCAGCAGCGTCTTCGCGAAGGGCTGCGGCGGGGGTCCAGAGTCCCCACGGAGTTCAGGGACTCGAACTGCAGCTGGCTGAACTTGTAGAGCAGCGCGTCGTAGTCGTCGGACGGCCGAGGCCGCAGGTCGTCCGGACACTCCAGGAAGAAGGTGTAGAAGTAGGCCTGGCAGAACTCGCCCAGAACCCTCTTCATGACGACCATGTCCTTGCGCGTCTTGCGGTAGAGGTCGTACATGAGGTTCATGAGGACCAGGTTCTGGCGGGCCATCTTCTCCTTGTAGTTCTCCTCGGTGGTCTCCGTGTCGGAGAGCATCCCCTGCACCTCGGCCAGCCTGTCCCCGCCCTGGTCCACCGCGAGCTGCGCCACCTGGGACGGGCAGAGGAAAGGGAGGCAGTTGAAGAATTTTCGCTCCAGTCGCCTTCAGATATATCCCTTCTTCCTTCATTCTCCCTTCTTGAAAATGCAAGTCCCAAAGATAAAAGAAAAAAGGGAAGAAGGAAGGAAAGTAACCTTGAATTCGGCCCAAACTGCATTCCTTTCCAGGCTGCGAACGCGCGAGTCCTCTCCCGTGTTCGCGCGTGAAGAAAGCCAGTTCCTGTTTCACATCCCCCCCCAATCCCCACCCCATAAGTCCCCAAGTTAAACAAATGAATAAATCAATAAAAGACGACCTCACCTTCAGGTTTCCTTCCTCGTCCCTAATGTCGAGGATGAGCTTCGAGAAGGAGATGATGTTGTTGGCGAGGCTCTGGCCGTCGTCCTTCATCAGGTTCGAACTCGCTCGGTACTCGTTCGCGCCGCCCAGCTGTGCAGGGGGGGGGGAGGGGGAGGGGGAGAAGAGGAGAGGAGGAGAAGGGAAGGGGAAGGAGGAGGAGGAGGAGGAGGAAGGGAAGGGGAAGGAGGAGGAGGAGGTGGGAAGGGGAGGAGGAGGGGGAGAAGGAGGAGGAGGAGAAGGGGAGAAGAGAAGGGGGAGAGGAGGAGTGGGAATAGGAAGGGGAGGGGGAGGAGCGGGAGGAGGGGAGGAGGAGAAGAAGAAGAAGAAGGAGGAGAGGGGGAGGGGTGGGGGAGAAGGAGAGAGCAGGAGAAGGAGAAGTTGGAAGAAGAAGAAGAGGAGGGTGAAAAAAGAAGATGAAAAAGATGAAAAGGAGGAGCAGAAAGAGAAGGAGATGGAGGAAGAAGAAGAGGGGGCGGAGGAGGAAGTAGGAAAGAAGAAAAGGAGGAGGAAGGGGAAGAGGAGGAGCAGGAGGAGGCGGAGGAGGAGGAGGGGAGGAGCAGCAGCAGCAGGGGGAGGAGGAAGATGATGAAGAGGAGGAAGAGGAAGAGAAGGAGAGGTGGAGGTAAAAGAAGAAGAGAAGGAAGAGGAGGAAATAGAAAAGAAGAAGAGGAGGAGGAGGAAGATGAGATAGAGAAAGCAGATGAGGAGGAGGAAGAAGAAGAGGAGGTGGAGGAAGTGGAAAAGAAGAGGAGGAGGAAGTGGAAAAGAATAGGAGAGGGAGGAAGAAGAATATGAGGAGGAGGAGGAAGAAAAGAAGACGAAGAAGAGGAGTGGGAGAAGGAGGAGGTAGAGGAGGAAGAAAAAGAAGAAGAGGAAGATGAGGAGGAGGGGACGAATAGGTGGAGAAAGAAGAGAATTATTATTGTTCCCATTATTAATATATGATTATGATAATACAAAAACAACAAGCTAACAATCCGTTACATGGTTGTGACGTCATCAATCTGCCCCATGACTACGCTGTGACATCATTAATATGCCCCGAGATTATATTGTGACGTCATCAATCTGCCTCGAATTCATGTTGTGATAATGCTGTTGTGGCAATAATATGCTCTGACGTTATCAATATGTCCCGAGATTTAGCTGTTGTGACGTCATCAATATGCTCCGAAATTATGTGACGTCATTAATATATCCTGTGATTACCAGCCTGTCTCGTGACTATGCTGTTGTCGTCATAGTCTGCTTTAAACTGTTTCTAGAAGTTACTTTCCTGGCGACTGTACTTCCCTAACCTGCCTGGCGCTGATACCTGTAGTGAAATGGACTTTCCGCTTTTCTTATTATGTTTTATTTCATTTTTTTTCTCTCCAGTTCCTGTGTTTCTGTTTCGGGGTCTATCAAGGTGAAAATGAAATTAGCCACAATGAGAACTGAAAATAATCGTAACGTTTCGAACTCTTCACGGGTTCCTCTTCAGACAAAACCGAAATGTATCAAGGATCGACGATTATTTTAGTTCTCATTGTGGTTAATTTCTTTTCATTTTTATGTGCATGTTACTGTGCTTGTGCTTGTGTTTATCACGGTGTTCATGGCGGCCATTTCGAGGGTCAACCCGCAACAGTCGCTCTCAGATCGTACACCTCGTTCTGGCAACACAGACTCAAGGATTCCGACATTCTCAGTCTAGAGTCTGCCTGCCGCTTGAAGTGACAGTGGACACTCTTCTTACACTTACCTTCTTCATGTCTTCGTCGTCGAGAACGATGTCGTTGTTGTCGTTGACGATCTCCCACTGGTACTTGGACACCGTCTGCTTCCTGACGACGGCGAGGAGCGGCCCGTTGTCGGGGAAGATGGCGGTCCAGTTGTGGCTCTGGCCGGCGTCCGGCGCGTCGATGGCCGCCAGGTGGTCCACCACGACCTCCACGTCGGCCATCAAGTCGTTTATCTGGAGCATGGAGTCCGTGAGCACCTCCTTGGCCTCGTTGAGCTCGCGCTTGTAGCGACCCACGTCACTGACGCCGTCGACGACGTCGCCCAGGCCTGCTCTGCCGGTGAACAGCCTGAACATCCCTCGGAAGAAAGATTTGCACTTCT